GTTAAAGTAATATATATTAATTATATTTTTATGTTTAGGATTTGTTATCGAACTTGCTTTCTCTTCATCAGTCAAATATTAAGGTAAATATAGTTTTATATTTAAGATTTCTTGGGGACTTGCTTTTTCCGAAAAAAATCGAAAAGGAAAATGAATAAAACTTAATCAAGTCCCTCTCTATTTCTTGTTAAAAGTAAGAATTTTCTTTTCCACTCTTTACGCTAAGAAAGGTTTATATTTCATTCTTTTTTCATGTTCTCTTTCTCTTCACTGTTATCGACGTATGTATACGTCAAAGCAGATGGCAGGAGTGGGTGGGGTAAGAGTCATATTTTCAAAAAAAATTAACGCCGAAGTGGTTAACGCTTTTGATTTACAGTAAAGTTTGATTTTAATTCTAATTTTTCCAGAGTAGTTAATGATAAAACTATCCGTATTTTTTATTGATGCACATTTTCCATTTAAAAAACTTTGTTGTCTGCTTCTCGTTTCTTTAGCACAAATTTTTAGTTGCCATATAACAAATACGAAAATATTATCATTTATAAATATCTACTGAACTACACTTTGGCTTCGTATTAGCAAGATGTTAATCGTAAATTATATATTTTAGAAATTAAAAATGCTAACATTCTACTTTCTTCACTTAGATTTGTACTTTCAATCGAATGCACGGACATATCGCGTAAGTGATGTATTTTAAATTAAAAATTATTTTTTCAGAGTATTATGGCTCGAAGTAATTAATAAAATTAATGCATTAAGGTGTATTAATTTTTAGAAAGATTGAAGATTAAAATGCGTTAGGATTAAATGCATTGTAATACGTTAGAATGCATTTATATACCGAAATTTTAATTCATTGGAATTCAGAAAAATCTCATACATTATAATGGATTAAAAGTGTACTGGATATAATTGAATGATAATGCAACCTGAATAATACATTATAATGCATTGTTCGTTTTTGTTAATTTTAGACTGCATGAAAATGCAAATGCATTGCAATGCATTAGAGAGTTTAATCCATTTAAATGCGTTAAATAGGTTGCATTATCACGTAATTACGCCATTTAGCCACTATAGTGATATAATGCATTATAATGTCCATTATTTCGAAAATCGGCTACATGGGATGTCCCCGCCAAAATTAGAGTGGTGCAGGGAATGGTGTGCTATATGTCTGTCTGTATGCACTCAGTCATTACGTCTCTGAAAAAGCAAGATTTTTGAAAGCGAGAGTGTGTGCACTTTCCTCTTCTCTGATTGCTACCCAATTGAGTTGATATATACTGGGAATTTATCAAGGGGGAAAAAGCGAGACTTCATCTACTTCAAAACATTTTTGGAGTATGATGGAAGTACAAGGGAGTACAAAGGGAGTACGAAAGTACAGAAGTCTCGCTTTTTCCCCCCTTGGAATTTATGCAATCAGGTTTGTTTCGCTATGGACATTCGGTCAATTAAATTCTGTTTCGTACAGGTCTAGGTTTACATAACGAGAAAGGTCCGCTGAGAGCTGCACCACTGGTTCTTTTCTTTGAATTGTGAGTTTTGATCGTTAACTTTTGATGCAGTAACACACAAAGATACTCTAGGTTCTTCACACAGATGTCATGTGCATATGTGTGTATATCATAGTGTTCAAGATTATAGGGTAATGATTAACGACTAAATGCCAAGGTTGACAGCTCAAAGGACAGCGATTACTCATAAAGGTAACGATTGATGCAGGGCTGTCGCAAACCACGTGTGTGAAGAAGGTAGGGTAAGAGGTTGTACTACGAGAGAGTGATGTCTTCATTCTTCGAAAACTTTGTTGTTTTGTTCTCTCATTTTTAAACACTTTGAAAAAATAGCTCGGTAACTTCTGGAAAATTTATGAAAGTTGTTGAAAACAGCGTCGACCTTGCCCTTTCCTAATATCTCCGACCTTGTGACACCTCTGCGTTAATATGATATGTCGAACTCAAATTAAACAACTTATCTACAGCAACTCAACGAATACGTTTACTGCTCTCTGAACAACGAAACGAGAGAAGAATATGTCATGTAAAGAGTTAAAGTAGAAAACATATGAAATTAAGAGACCGATACAGCGGTATGTCACACGCAATATGGGTAACAGCGATAGCATAGCATGTTACAAAGAAGAAGAGACCACATATCTACATACATGTTTCTTAAAAGATACTTTTAAAAAGGCAACCGTGCGGTTTTCACAGTTTGATCAAGTAGTCTATATACAGGGTGCCGAGTGTGTGTGTATCTGTTACCAAGTCAATGGTTAAAGAGAAACCGATCGCGCAGTTTGCACGGGCTTCTACTATTATAAAATAAGTTTTGTATTGCATTTTCTAGAGTTTTTCACGCTGCATCTCTGGGTATATTTTCTTTTTTTAATAAAGCGTATTAAGAACAGGAAAAATAAGATACAAGTGGTGGCCATTTATTATGAGCCCCGATATATTATGCTCACCATTGGGTCGTCTTTAGGACAGGCGTTCTCAGAATCGGCTTGATAGAATTTACTGTTTTTTTTACAAAAACTACTACCTAAGTACTCCTTGAAAACCTAACCAAAACTTCGAGATCTTCAAGTATGACTAGACAAGTGCTACTACTACTTGCTCGAAAAATGTTTCGATCTGATATTTAATAAACTAGCAGACATATAGTTTATCAACAAATTATGTACTAAAAGACTGAGCAACATTTCTGAACTTACTCGACAGTGAAGCGCGCAAAGAATATTTGCTCTGCGAGAAAAGTAAACAGATGAAAGCAAATACTGTCTTGCTTTTTATGCGCAAAAGCATCCACTTTTTCGTTACTTGTTAGTCCAAGTAACCAAAAAATGAAACGTTACTGAAATGTGTTCGCATACTCATTCTTTATGCTTGAGCGTGTGGGTGGGTGTGGTGTGTGTGCGAACATATTTCAATCACTTTTCATCTTTCGGTTACTTGGACCAACAAGGAACGAAAAAGTGTATGCTTTTGCGCATAAAAAGCATATTTTTCTGCGTAAAACGAGTTTTTTTATTAAAAAGCAAGATAGTATTTGCTTTCATCAGTTTACCTTTCTCGCAGAACAAATATTCTTTGCGCGTTGAAATGAGCTCTTTTTACGCATAAATACGTCATTTATTTCGTCACTTGTCTGACTGAGCAACTTTAGGTAGCCTACAAGGCTCTGAGGTACTCTATCTAGATAGCAATAAAGGATCTCAGGTAATTTTCCAGATACCCCTAAAGGAGTCTCATAGACTCATCAGGTGACCCTAGAAGAAATCGACATAGTTCCCTAGGTATCTCTAGAATGGTCGAAGATATTAACCATAGGCAGCTCTAAAAGAGTCCTCATATACCCGCAAAGAAGGATCACAGGTATCGTTCCTAGATAGCACTATAGAGTCTCAGATAGTCCTTCTAGACACCACAAAGAAGTACCAGATAGATTTCCTAAATAGCTCTTAGGTATGACTCCTGGGTAACCATAAAAGGATTCCAGAGAGTTCCCCTAAAAAGGCGTAGAAGAATCCAAGATAGTCCTTAGGTAGGCCTAAAGGACACGACATAGTCTCCCTGAGTACCTCTAAATATGTTCCAGATATTAGCCCTAGGCAGTGCTAAATAGATCCTTGGTACCATCCGCTCATTGCCGTATATGAGTCCAGGTACCTGCTTGATATTGCTCCTGCAAAACTATAAGTCGCTTGTGAAGTTGGACTATCGGTTCTTACGAGCGAACATCTGAAAGTGTAAAATCGCTTTGAGTTGGGACTCGGTGCATCATGCAGGCCTTAGTCAGGTAAAGAAAACCCTTAAAGGATAATGGCTGTTACGTCTTGTGTCCAGAGTTATAGGCATTTTACTGGAACTTTAGCCTATGGTATAATACATAGCAACAAATGGAATGGTGGTATTCCGACGTGATATTTTGGTCACAGATAGATCTATTTCTGAGTAGAACATCCTGAATATTTCAGTTCAAAAGAATGTTTTCTTCACGAGATATTAAACTCTCAATAATCATTCATATCCGACGAAAGATGTTAGAATTTACTATTTTTTAGAACTTTAATATCTTGGAATGGAAATATTCTTTTGAGCTGAAATTGTCAGAATATTCTACTCACAAACAGATCTATCTGTGGGCAAAATTCCTGGTCGAGATACCGTCATTCGATTTATTGATATATATCATGCCATAGGCTATAATTTCAGTAAAATGCCTATGACTCTGATTAGAAGACCTACGGGCACTTATCCTTTTGCAGTTTTTCATACCTCGCTGGGATCAGTTTTATGC